CGCCCCCCGGAGTGGAGGGGCGCCGGCCAGGCCGCTCCCGGTGCCCAGAAACTACAGTCTTAAAAGCACCCGTTAACCTGAGTTTTGAGCTTGACAGGACTCCAGTATGCTGGTAGAGCAGCGTAGGCTGGTATGTGCTGGCCGGGATCTGAAGGCCATTGTCTGTCATCCTGAATCTTTCTGTCTCCCCATGAAAATGCTCACTGGTGGGTCTTGGCTAACTTTGCCGAGGATCTGCTGTGAAACTCAGCCCTCAGCGTTTGTACGTAAACACATGCGACTGCTGTTGAAGCATTTCTCTTCATTATCAGGTAGTCGCATGTCCCTCTCCTGTGGTTTCTGTTAGTATTCTGTGATGACAGGGTACTTGTTCAACTAGCTGTTATGAATTAGAGGGCGACTTTTTTTTTCTTCTTCTCTTTTCCTTTTTTTTTTTTTTTTTTTTTTTTTTTTTGAGAGAGAGTACAAGTGAGCACATGTAGGAGAAGGAAGGAGGAAAAGAGGTCATTTTTTGACAGGGTCTCGCCATTGCCATCCTCTGTCCCACCCTCCCAGTTAGCTACCATCACAGGCCTGCACTGCTGTGATCTAGCCTGGTCTGCTCAGGTTGGTTTGGGATTTGAACCTGGACCTTCTATGTGGCCCTCGCCTTGTGTGGCAGTACCCTACCACTTCTGCCACCGTGGCTGGGCCACATTTTTAAATTGGTCATTTTTTTATAAGGTAAATTCCATTTTAAGACAAATGCACATTGGGGCTAGGTAAAGAGGGACTCAAACCTCAACAAAGTTAGCAGAAAGCTGAGAAATAAATGACTCATCCTTTAGTTATATCTGTAAATTGGAGGTAGCTAAGATATGGACGTTTGTCTTAAATTGGAAATATTTGACTGTTTGATTTAACCAAGAAACATGAGATACTAGGTTAATGCCATTTTCTTTTGGTTCAGATGAACCATTTCTGGTCTAATTTGGTCTCTGTAATTGAGTTTGTTATCATATAGGTTAGCATTCAGGAAAAGGACTTACATTAGGG